GCTATACATATCCCCTATTTTGAATTTCTTTCTTTCCTTGCTTACAGTCGCTCAGCTGTTAAGTGGCGACTCAATTGCATACATAACCGGGGACTAGAATAAAGCATCACTTCAGCTGAGTAATGGCTTAATAGCCTATAATTATCCCTGAACTGTATAAGTTGGTATATAAACCACTTACATGCTCTTTGTGTTTGTCATGAATCATGATGGCGTGACACAAACACCATAAGAGTCTCTATGGCAAAGGCATGAATATTAACTTGTATAGCAAAGCTGGGGGGTGAGTGTTATTCCATACCTGCTTTTTTTCCCAATGCAAACACTTTACACAGGGACCTCGAAACACAAGTAGCAGGCCAAAACCTTGACAGTAGTTGGTAAATTTCCCACTGATTTGTCCTGGGTTTGTTGTGAAGTAGCACCTTGAGTCCAATTGGTTCCACCCCTTTAAAGTGTATTTGACATTTGATAAATTGTGGAACTATGACTAGAACGTTTTTAATGTAACTAAAAGTTATTACACCGAACTGAAAGCATGTACAGTACATGCCCGAAAACAGTGATTTGAACAAAATTATTTTAATAAATATTTACTCAGTTGCCTGAGCTGGATGTGTTTTAGGGATGGATGGATGGATGGATGGATGAACAGGCACAATGGCATAAGTCTTTTTTTTGAGATTTTATATGATTCCAAAATCAGACCTTCAAAAACGACCAACAAAGCCTCAGACCCTTAACGATTAAATGTTACATATGTAACATGGTAGGGACTTTTATAACTAAAAACAGGTAAAGGGCATATATATCATTTGGTTTCCAGAAGTTCGTGGTGTAATGTATCGTGCTTCAGTAATTTAAACTAATACACTGCCCGGCCAAAAAAATGTCACCATTTCAATTTAAATCAGCAAATACTTAAAAGCCAATGACTGGAACATTATTACATCTCTACAATGTTATACAGCAATAAAGTGAAGTCAGCTGAGTTACCAGGTTACTGCTTCATCCATCATCCATGGATTTTTTTCTTCTCTAATGGCATGAACGTATTCCAGGATGATGATGCCTATGTTCATCTTGTCTAAATTGTGAAAGAATGGTTCAGGAGCACGAGGAATCATTTTCATATGTGATTTGGCCACGACAGAATCTTGACCTTATCCCCAAAGAAGACTTTACGGAGTGGTCCAACTCGCCTATCATCAATACAGGATCTTGGTGAGAAATGAATGCAAATCTGGATGAAAAAAATGTTGAGATGTTGCATAAGCTTGTGGAAGCAGGTCCATGACAAATGTGTGCCATAGTAAAGCTAAAGGCAGTCCAACTAAAAATTCAAATGGTGACTTTTTTTTTTGACCGGGCCGTGCACATTAACAGCCTCCTGATACAGTTATACCACTGGACCGACGGTCCATCCCAAAGCGGCAATTCTGCTTTTTACCAAAAACAGGAGAAAATTCAACAGCCTGCACCTGCCCTGTTAGATGAGGGCTGATTGTTCCCAGCATCCGCCCTCCTGGTCGCTTGGGGGGAAACGCTCCTTTGATGGTGTCCACCTCCCATGCTCCTCTGATATCAAGGACAGATCGAGCGACTGGGGGAAGTGTTCAGAGCTGGCAGGGCAGGGCAGGCAGGCAGACACAGACCGGCTGGGTGAGCTGAGGGGGAGATGCGGGGGAGGGAAGGCTCTAAGGCCGGTGTTGCGGCCCAGGGAAATAAGACAATCCATTGGTGAAAGTGTCACTGGAAGCCTTCAGTGCGCGCTGTCATCGCACCCTCTGCCTGTGTCCCCTCGGGGCCCGGACTCCACGGGGGAGACATCTCACGTCGATCCCGATCGTGTCTCAGTCTTGGCTTATATTCATCACCCCCCCCCCCCCCCCAATTCCTCACACATCCTCTTAAACATGCTCGCACCCTGATATTTCCAACCCACCCCCCTGCCCAGTTCACTGCTGGCTTCCCCATCTGTCAAAATCTGCGGGACGCTCACAGACTGTTCTGCGAGATGAACCTGCAGTCTTACTGGGAATGTTTTGTGCCGATGTACATGGATCTCAGCACAGACAACCTGAGTGACCTCCATCGAACTCCTGACCTACTGACTCTGTTGACAGACATCTTTTTCCTTCCATCTTTCTGGATCCCCTTCCCCCGCCCCTAGTGCCTGACTTTTCATCCTCTTCTTCAGATGTATCAGAGAGCCCCCCCACCCTCAAAAGGCCCCCTTTCTGTCTTTCATCATCTTCCTCCTTATCATTTCTTCGCCGTACAACTTGTCAGGCTCCTTAAGAATTGGTGAGATGGAGAACCTTGGGTAGAGGAGAGCTTGGGGTAGGTACCCCCC